TGCTTGGCAATGGTCTTGTAGCCCATTCCAGCATTGTGTAGGTCTACAATCTTGTCCCTGACATCCTTGGAGAGCTTTTTGGTCTTGGCCATGGTGGAGAGTTTGGAATCTGTTTGATTGATTGCTTCTGTGGGCAGGTGTCTTTTATACAGGTAACAAGCTGAGATTAGGAGCACTCCCTTTAAGAGTGTGCTCCTAATCTCATCTCGTTACCTATATAAAAGACACCTGGGAGCCAGAAATCTTTCTGATTGAGAGGGGGTCAAATACTTATTTCCCTCATTAAAATGCAAATCAATTTATAACATTTTTGACATGCGTTTTTCTGGAATTTTTTGTTGTTATTCTGTCTCTCACTGTTCAAATATACCTACCATTAAAATTATAGACTGATCATTTCTTTGTCAGTGGGCAAACGTACAAAATCAGCAGGGGATCAAATACTTGTTTCCCTCACTGTAAGCAATTGGTGATATCTGTTCGAGGGACAACTGTAAATCACAGCAGAGTATGTCTACATCGGACAGCTGCTGATGGCGGACTGGGATCAAAATGGTGATGAGGCAGACGAGTAGGTTGGAGTGTTTTTGGAAAGCTGAACTTGATCATGAAAAGCAACATGCCGATGTACCTGAAGAAGAAATGTATAATCCGTGTGTATTGCCTATTATGACATATATGGTGAAAACATTACATAATAAAAACGTGAGAAAAGTGGGCTTGGGCAGGACACATAGCCAGAAGGGATAATGGAAGATGGACAAGAATGATAACAGAGCTGCAGCCAAGAAACGGAATGTGTCCGAGAGGCCTTCCACGTAGGAGACAAATCTATGAAATCAGTTCATGTGCAATTACTTGATGTATTGTTACATTGCAGGATCATGAGACGTGCTGATGGCTTGGGGAAGCCTTCGTCGAGCAGCATATTGATCATGCCTGTTGAGTATGATAACAATCTGTCTTATTATCATCTTTTAAATAATTTGTCAAATGCGTAAGTGGTTGTCCTGTGGGGTGGAGGTCCTATCAAGAGTTTGTCCCTATTAAAAATCAAATGGGATTTTCCACCACTGGCCTCAGCATCAATCAGGATGAGCCACACTAACTTAGCAAGGAGACACATTTTAACACTTGCATATATAATTTAAAACAAATGAAATTAGGTAACAAGTGTATTGTATTCATAAGTTACAGATCGTATCAACGTTCAAAACTTCAAACGTACGTCCCCAGTGAACATGTCCCCCTAACTGTAAAAGTATGTTTAATACATTTCACCTTAGCATCAAATTTTTCAGAATTTGTATACATGTTATATAACATATGGAAAACAATCCTCTTTTCATTATAAAAGGGTCTGCGGAAATGTTTTGACCAAACCAAAACCTCTGTGGTAGAATTACATTATTTTGCAATGGTAAAGTTGCGAGCTCAAATCCTGGTCACAGGTCGACTCAATAAATGAACCCTTCCTGGGTCAATAAAATGTATACCACTTTGTGGGAAGAGACCAGCTTCAGTCAATGTGGACTTTCCAGCACAAGAAAAGAAGGACCTCCAATGTAGATGATTGCCTAATGCTTATTTAGATTCGGGTGTAAGACTTTTGCAAACAACGAATCCCATAAACTAATATTGCCATACAGTATTTAACATTTCGTTGACCTATGGATAGACTCACTCCAGCCATAGGAATGTAGAATTTTCACCACTGGCTCAGGGCTGTAAATATGAGATAAGCACTTCAATGCTCATCTTCACAGGAAATCGCTGACTCTTTTGACTAATCCATACATTGACATGTTATGCTTTGTATTATAGTTACAACACATTGTACGTCAATTATCAAGGTTCTCTTCTAAGGAAATGGCGATGTAATAAATGGCATCAAAGGTGAGTATACCTGAACCTTGTCTGGCATGAGTCCCAGACATTAAGCACACACAGCAGATGCGGGTGTGTGGAAAATCATATTAAATGGTAAATGGTTTTGACTGACAATGCCTCAAAGTTTATGCACGTGCTTCTGCCGTGCATAGTGTGAGTACAGACTCTAAGTGAGCTATTCCTGTGTTATTGCCATGGATAAATGTACCAAAACCCACCCACAGCTGCCCCCTATAAACACAGCTGTGAACATTTTCCACTCTTGGAGAGCCCCTCATGCTCACCAATATATTGCTTGGGAGTAAATGTGCTACAAAAGCACATTGCTTTTGCTGTAAACACTTGTGATGCAACTTTACTTAAAAAAAGCACATAAGTACATTAATTTCAAAACTTACCAAACAGTTTTTATCGGGAAAAAAATGCAAAGGAATGTTAATGCTGTGTATTAAAGCCTGTCACAGTATATGTATCAATAACATAAATGTACATCAATTGGGGTGTGCAGCGAATGGCAGAGCGCTCTGGCACAGTCTATTGTGAGAAGCCAATAGAGCCCTTTATTAGTTAACTCTTGTTAGAGTTCGTCGGGAAAAGAAGTTGCATGAGTTCTTCTTACTGTTATAAGTGTGCAAATGTCAATACAGTACTGTAAACGGAGCGTGTAACCTGATGTTCTACAGACACCCAACAGGAGGCACCACTGCCAAACGACTGCACATTACAGTTCACATCCTTGGGAGGTACAGGGATGCTGGCATGGATAATGTAATTGGAAGAGAGGTAGTCCTCATTCTATCAAAGCAAAAAAAACATAATTTGCGACTGCTTACGAATTATATAAAAATCATGATGATATAACCACTCATTAAGTGGCTGATAACATCTTGAAATAAAAACCCAATGCAGGACCCTCCCAAAAATGGGTCCTGCAACCGAGTGTGGCTTTCCTGGATGAATAAGAAAGTCAGTATAACATCCAACTGCTCCATGAAAAATGTATTATGAAAAATGTATCATGAAATATGTTGGTTACGAAGCAGAAAATGTCAGCATACAAAAAGGCCATGCTATAAATTTCGATAGTGTTTTTGAGCATTAAACACAACATTTTGGCTGTAACCCAAGGCCATTAAGACAGGTGAATGAAGAGTGCAGGGTGCACGATGCTGCCTTTCCACACCTTGGTGAATAATTTGTCACATTGCTGGCCTCCACTGTGACTCCTCCACTCATCTGCTGACATTTTCAGAAAATATATTAATCTCTCACATGACCCCCCTTATTGTTTATGAAAAGACTACCTTGCTATTTTCCGTGTTATTTAAACCAATTTGTTTACGCGGCAATGATCGCCTCGTTACCCCCATGGGCGGCGATTTGCGAGCTGGAGAAATCCCATGCCCATTCGAGAATAGCACTCAATACTGCCATCTTTGGACCACGCCTCAGCATCGCCACGTCTACAACACCTGTCAAGCCCTGGTGGCCACACATATCGAAGTACCAAACAGACTTTAACCTGCTTAGCTTCTCAGATCTGATGATAATGAAGCACATTTAGGATGAATTGGTTATAGCTAAAAAATAACAATACGTTGACTTAAAGCTTTGGTGTCTGCAGGAATTCATAGTCTTTGGGTCTTTCGGTAAAGCCACGTAGATAGAAAAATAATAATAATAAATGTTCTACGTGGCTTTACCGAAAGACCCAAAGAATAGTTACAATATGCATCACACTTGAACAAATAAAAAGAGCGAGCAAGGTATTTGTAAAGCTTTTTGCCATAATATATACAGTAATGCATGCCATCTGTACACAATGGCAGATGACAACATTTAGATAGAAAGAACTTGTATACATTATAAAACGGACCACACATGGTTTCCTGTTAATGTATCATAATTTACTCCGATCTGAAAATGTTATGATACAAAGGAACGCTGGATGCTACAGATTACCAGACACGCATAAGTAGTTCACACATTATGCACAATCTTGTTATATCTGACAAAATGATTGTTATATATCGGTTTTCAAGTATAAAGCCACTTATTTAGACACTATGGCTGTAAACAAATACTAACATTGCGATATGCTACGAATTGCTAATCAGGATTATGCAGGTAAACAGCTGCACTCTTTGAAAATGATAAAACGCAATAGCTGATGCCACCACAGGCCCATCTTCCTTCAGGTTATATGGGCATCATTCCTCTGCCTGTCTTAATAACCTGACCTTTTGCATCCGACACAATTTATCAACCCATCCGAATTTATAGGATTATAATGATTTATTGCCAAATTATATTCTGAATATCCAAGTTGCTTACTGTAAAACCTTGGATTGCGAGTAACTTGGTCTGCAAGTGTTTTGCAAGACGAGCAACATTTTTTAATAAATATTAATTTGATAAACGAGCGAGGGTCTTGCAATACGAGTAGTACGTATACGCTTTGTCTGCCGAGCGTCACGTGATCACAACTGATATACAAGTGCTTTGGATTACAAACACGTTTCCGGAACGAATTATGCTCGCAATCCAAGGTTTTATTGTATTTTGTTATTCCATTAAATTATTTGCATCTATCACACATGCCTTGATTCAAAGGCGAAGAGCAACTTCTCTTGTTGTTTTGTTAGCTATCTGAGACATAAGTAGCACAGATATTACTACTCAAAAAGCCATCTCTTAGCAATAAAATTGGACCTCTCAACTTTTCCAAAGTTAGTTTATGTAGTCCATCATAACCGGTACTACCTACATACTGGAGTTTCAAATAACACAATATGAAAAAGCACACAGCCTCTGTGCCACCAGCAGTTCCTTAAGAAGTGCAATGTGGTTCTCTCTGTCTAAAGTCACCGTCACATTTGACTACACAGATAAGTAATTAAATACTCTAAAATCTCCACTTGTGATAAAGATGCAATAACCCCCATCCAAAACCAAAAAGGAATTTTAAGATTCATCGACCATGTGTCTATGAATGTAATTAATAATTAACACAAATTATATGTTCATGGAAGATATACTTTATATTTTGACCTTTATTTCTGCAGAAGGGTTATTTTGTCTAAGTTCAGAAAAATACATTAACTGCTTACCTGATAGTGTGAAAATGAGGTTTCTGCCAAGATGTGTCCTTGCGTCACCTCTGTTGAACCCACGTACCGTGCTCCTTCCATTGCAAACAAAAGCAAATATCACAAGTCAGTGCTTCACATACTATTTTCGATTAAATCACAGCCGTCAACAAATACCCCTCATAAAATTAAAGCTTACTCAGTAAGTGATAAATAATTATATTAAATAGCCATGTAAAGATTTCTCCCCTGCAAATCAACTTCATTGTCACAATTCAGGCTCACAATTAGAATCAAGAATTCATGTATTTTTTTTTCTCTTTCGAAATCATTGAACTCGCTTTAAAAAAAAGAATTCGGAATTATGGCATTAGATGAATAAATACCATTCGGATATCTGTAGCTAGCAGTGCATCATCTTGTGTTATAAAACAACCCCAGAAGGTGACACCGCAGAATAACTTTAAGGGTTACTTCGGTGAACCACTTTTACCACCCACGGGTAACATCTTTATAATGCTAAGCAAATATGTTCTCATCCTATGTCAATTAAACCGGTGTTTTTTCCAGTTATCAAAGCTGGAATAATCCAAATAATGTGGAAAACCAAATTTAACACGCATCATTCTACAGTATTATTGATTCCACCGACATTCACACACATAAGAAACCCACTTTAATCATGGGCGGGTCCTTATACTGTCACTTTCATATTGTTTCTCTTCAGAGATATAAAAAGACTACTACATTCCCTTCTTTCCTCTGTTTTAAATGAAAATTTCTGACTTTGCAACGCAGCATATTAATAATTTCTGCACCGCGCATCAATAAATAAATAAATTAGCTGTTACTGGTGTCTAAACGCTCTCTGAAGCGTTGTAAATGCGGCGTGGAGTTAATTAAAATTGACACCCACGAGCAGGGCGCCTTCTCGCACTGGTGTGTCAGATGGCTGGGATGTCGCACGATACCCAGCCATCGTGAGTCACCTCCAGGAGGACTTCAAGCAGGGACGATTGACGGTATCAATCAAGGTCTGCTTATCAGCTATTTCTGCGTTGCATGGCCAGATCAACAACATAAGAGTGGGGTCGACTCCAATGCTAACATGATTGTTGAGGGAAATGGCAATAGAGAGACCCGTGGAACCTGCGGTTTGCATTTTAGACATTCAAACACGATCACCATTTGAACTATGCCCAAGACCTCAGAGCGTCTTTTGATGCGATAGCTTATTTTTCTGGTGGCCATCATGTCGGCCTGGAGAATCGGGGAACCCCAGGCACTGTTTGCACATCTCCCATTCATGGACTTTAAGGTCAATATGGTAGTGGAACTACACCTTCCGAATTCGTCTGCTGCCATGTCTCCAACAGGCAAATGATGCTGCAATCACCTGATGAAGCTCAGGCACTCAAATTATACCTTCAAGAATTATGGATTGGTGAAAGCCCATGAAGTTATTTGTTTGGTACAGCAAGGCCTTCAGAGGCCACACAGCCTCTAAGGTAAGAATATCAGTTTTTCTCTTGGGATGTATTATGCATTGCTACGAGGTGGCTGTAAAACTTGTTCCATTCTATCACAGAAGCAGCAGCTTCCTGGGCCAAGGCTCTCAACATAGCATTGAAAAAATTTGCAAAGCGACGACATGAAAGTTGTCATATGCATTTGCAATACACTATCGGCTGGACAACAGACTGTCACAGGACACCTCCTTTGGTAGAGCAGTTCTTTTAGCACTGATATAATGAGAGGCCTTTACCTCCACCGGGTTACCAACTTTGGTGCTTTTGCCCATGTGAAATACATTTTTAAAAACTCCTGTAGACAACAAACAATGGAGTACAAGAAACTAAGTTTTGTATCTTGGTAAAAACTGGTTGTTGTAGACCATTATCAGCATGCACAGGACTCCCACCCTTCTTATCCCAACAACAGTTTTCTCCTTATAATCTGTATGGGAGTTGTCAGCAGGTTATTCTTGCAATGTGGGGCAGCTGGCATGACATGGGTTTGGTTTCGTGTTCATGCCTGGTTCAGTGTTATTGCTACACTCTGAGAGCATCTGCACTAACTTCTCGCTTCAAATCTAGAATTAACTTCTCGTTGTTGAGTGTCAGTTCACCCCTCTTCCTTTGCTCTCTCTAACAAGTTGTGTATTCGTGGAGTGAGTGTTATAGTCGGGTGTCCACTACCCTTCTACCCTTCGTAAATGGGCTCTGCTCGTAAGTCAGCAAGGCACTATGGGTATGAGAATACAGGAAATAAAGTGAAAGTGGTGGGCACTCAGTGAAAACCTGCCTTCTCTCTCGGAATTGCAAGTTTAAGATTAAAGAATACCTCATATGGATGGTGACAATGTCTAATAGGACCAGTCTGACCAAAGTACTAAACCTAATTGTCTTTGCCAGAATATACATTACAATATACAAACTTGCAATAATCCAATTGGTATTAAAAACTGACAACAGTTGAAAAACATTTACCTTGTATTAAATTTTTATTAAACTCTATCAAAATGTCACTTTGTTAACAACAACAATCAATGAGTGTACCCTTCACTGTATGAAAAAAGGGAAGCTCCTGGACAAGATGGTGGACCATCAGGAAATAAGCAAGAAAAGTTGCTGGAACCTTATTTCGTGGTCCTATTTACACAACATGCACACATAACTGAAATGCCTTATGGAAAGATGCCTCAATAACTCTTCGATTCAAAAAGTGGGTGAAAATATATTTATAAAATTATAGACCCATCCGACTGTTACCAAAAGTCCTCAGTTAACGCGTTTTCACACAACACGTTTTTGCTATAACGAGGTTCTTCCATGAGGGAACACTTTTCACACAACACAGAACGTGCCCATTGTTACGCCGTTTTTGAGCGGTCGACGACGAACTACTTTCTCGAGCTGTGCAGCTGAGTGGTTTGGGAATTTGGGGCATACGCACGGAATTATACAATACGTGGCATTCCATCATCTCAGTTCTTTGTCCCGCCATCTTGCTGTGTGTGTGTACGTCGTATCTTGCCAAACTTTGCTACATTAATTCTCACGGGAAAAGTGTTTTCGCTGCACGCATTTTCAATTGACACAGCACTTTTCAGGAACCCACCTACTGCGTGAAAACGTAGCATTACTGTATATAAATTGTTCACGAAAATAATTAGGAACAAAATAAGTTTAGAGGCCATCTGTATTGTCCACTAAATACATACTGTTCATGATATTATGGTAAAGAGTAATAAATATCAAATACCATTATGCCTAGCTTTTATCAACTGTGAAAATACATTTCAAGCAGTAAACATTTATGTCGTGATCCAAGCTCTCACAAAGATCTACATAAAATATGTGGAAATTACATTTTTTTAAACATTGAAAGCATAACAGCTCTATTCAAATTTCATTTAAAAAATAACAAACTATCAGACGTATAAACGTATATGGCACAATTATTAACAATCTCAGATAAGCTCATGACACAGTCATTGTAACAACCAAGGGAAATGGACTAAAGGAAATAATTTATTAACTAAATGCAGAATGCTGCAACGTTGGAATCATGATAAATATGAGCAAAACATGGGTCACGTACATGAGGTTCACAAAACAATGTAAAACATCCATTAGAGGAACACAACTGGAAAACACATCAGAATATGTTTACATAGAACAGTACCTAGGACAGGTATTAAAGGCAAACACAAATCTATATGATAAAATATATAAGTGGAACAGAGAAGATTGGATTGCTGTTTGAAAACTGAACTCGATATGAAAATCAGAATACCAATGTGCCTAAAGTAGAACATTTTAAGTATTGCATGTTGCCTACCATGACCTGTATCAGAAACATGGACAATGACAAAGGAAAAAAACTACACAGTGATGCATGGAAATAATTACACTGAGTAACATTAAGAGGAACACATGTATTGGAGAGCAAACATATGTACGTTACAGATACCAAATCAACTTTGGAAAAGTGGTGGACAAGCACAATTAACAATAAAAAAAACCTGAACACATTCGTTAATAACACTGTGGCCTTAACAGTAAAAATATACAATATGTGACGTTTTGGGCGATGATCCTTCTTCATAGCACATGTAAGAAGCCTTAGTGGGCATGGGCAGAGTACTTTTGCTGGAAGGGATGATGGGCAGTGGTTAACGGAGCGGCAGCCAAAGCAAAGTACATGCAATGATGGCCGACACAGAGATGGAGTGATGAAATCAGCTCGTGTACAGAAGTGAGATGGATTGTTACATTGCAAGGTCATGAGAGATTGTAAAGGCTTTAACAGGCAGTTATCCACAAACATAATGTGCCTTGTTTTGGCACAAGCCTGCCAATGGAATGCCAATACCACTCACACACCCTTACAGTGTGTGGGAGCAAGCAACTATTTTAACACGTGGACTTGCCTTGTATAGCCAGGCTCATAAAATCTATACACACAGGGATGGCAGCTGTACATATTTGCATTGTGTTTTTCAATGAGTTCTTTGCACACTGCTCCACTGCGATCTGGAATTAAACCGCAATGCCAGGCGAAAGTGCAAGAGGTGGCAATTTTCCCTCGGAGAGGCAGGCTGCTCTTTTGTTATGCACCTGTTGAGTTATCACAATATAACCTGCACCTTTGACACTGCACTAATATACACAGAACCATATATATAATTATATATAAATGATGATTATTACAGTATGCTTAAACTATGTAAATAACTACATGTTCACTTTTCATTGTATGGATAAATACACAAGCACAGATCAACATGATGCAAGCATAAACAGACACAAATGGAAATACACAGGAAAATTATTTCAGGGCCCTTGTAATGGCTTGGCATGTTATGGTTTGATTGGAATAGTTATTATTATTCATGATAATAATTTAGAAAACTTTGTAAATCCACTGTTGGATGAAGGCATGAAGGCCTCCCTTATGTAGGTTTGTGAAGGAGTGCCAGGACCAGTTCAGATATCAAGTGCAATTGATGTCAACCAAGACGGGGAATTAAACTCAAGACAACATGGTTCATAGCGCGATGTGCTAACCGCTGTGCCACCATTCCATCCCGAAAAGACATTAACATACACAACAGCACACACCAATCAAGTCATGTTTGTGTGTTAACACGCATATACACAAATATACATCAAAATAAATGCATAGCAGAATCTTTATTTTGACTGGAGGAATCCGAAGAGCTATAAAGCTCTTTTTTAAAAGATGTCCAGTAGGGGCAGGTCAGAAAGTTACAACAGACAATACAAAGCCGATAGGAGTGCAAAGTATATGAAAGCTAAGCAAGTCACTAAATATAAATAAAAATTGCATAAGTACATCAATATGGACACAAATACACAAACGCAGACACAAGCGGGCCATTAAATAATACTGAATTAAAAGCAAATAAAGGAGCTTGAAATGGTTTCAGTCTTTGTGATAATTTTGTTATATTTCCTCTGCAAAGTAACAATTTAAAGAATAGATTTTTTTTTATCAAGCGCAACTCCATTTATGGTTTAAACTGTCGATAAGAGAAGTAAAATTGTCCATTTACACCGTTTAAAATACGTTGGTTAATCGTTTTGCTTCATATGAGTTGTAAATAATTATCAATGTAATGTTTAATTTCATATTCATGAGGATGTAACTTAATTTTACATTTTAGGTTAATCCAGGCTTGGTTTCTTTGAAGAATTAAGCCTTCCAAATGAGCTGTCAACCACAGATTGTCTTATCATTGGCCCGATATATTAAAGCGAGTGTTTGTCAATGATGGCAACAAATTATTACACTCCAACCAAACTGAAAAATAAAAATAAAAACTTTTAAACCATTAAAACAAGGTAAGTATACTCAGCGAATGGGATTTTGGAAGTCTGCCAGAACAGCCTAAAGGGGCATTCAGTGCACCGTCCATAGCCTGGCAGCTTTGATTTTTGGGATTTAATCACTACCCCCATGGGAGTACTGAGGCAACGTCTAACTTCCCCACCTTGCCAAAGGTCGCCCACGGCTTCTCCCACCATAATCACTTCCATTTGGAAAGCCACATGTTTTATCCAAAGTATACAAGATAAAGCCGATCACTGTGTTATATAACAATGGCCTTTTTTGTGAGCAGTACAACACTCACTCAGTGATGTTGAAAAATAGAACACCATTTGAAACATAGGTTGTTATTATTATTATATTCTTGGTTCTTTCGGTAAAGTCACGTAGAAGGGAAACAATAAAATAATAAAAGTGTAAAACAATACAGTTCTCACGACGTTTCGACTGCAACACAAGCAATCATCGTCAGGTGTGAAGACCACAGCAAGAAAATTTGAAAAAAGTGGCGGTTTTTTCAGCGATTTGGCAGTTTGTTATTTTATTGTTTTATTCTCTACCACTTTGTTTTGAAGAAGTCGATTTTTTTTCTTATTTATGTATTCCATATTTATTGTTTCGTTATTTACAATACACCTACCAGTCTGCACACCTATCTTGGAGGTACTTGACTGTACTGTCAAGTGCCTTCAAGAGATTTTCTAGCGTGACGTCAATGGTCACTTTATTGAGGGTCCTCACTTTATTATTTTATCCCCTCATGTTACCAGCGAACATTCTTTCGTAGTAACTTGAAGGCTAGCATTTCCATTTTCCACAGATATGTCCCTAACAAGCACATTGTTCAGGAAACGGTTCATCTAATTTATTTAAGTATTAAAAAAAAAACGTCAACCAATGTTTATCTTTTGACTTAAGACCTGAATGACTGCAGGAATTCATAGTCTTTGGTTCTTTCGGTAAAGTCACATAGATAGAAAAATAAAAATAAAGTAAATAAAAATAATAAAAAATACTGTAGCCTGGTTCTTAATCGGAGTGAGTGTACTGGCAGTCTATAATGTAGACTGTAGCCTAGTTATTAAGTTTGGTAAGTGTACTGGCAGTCTTTAATGTAGACTCACCCAGCTTAATAACCATTGCTACAGTCTACATTATAGACTGCCAGTACACTCACGAAACTTAATAACCAGGCTACAGTCTACATGAAAGACTGCCAGGACACTCCGATTAAGAACCAGGCTACAGTATTATTTTTATTCACTTTATTTTTATTATTATTTACGCCGAAAGAACCAAAGAACATTGTTTACCTTTCACATTATAGTATGAGTAGCCAGTCTTTTTCCACAGGCTCACACCACTACACACAATACATAATCATTGTTACCGTCATAGTGATATTCGTTGCAATGCATTCTATATCCACTTCTAGACAAAATGCTGATGCAGTCAACGTTCTCTCAAATGTGCCAAGACCTGTTTCCCATTGCTCAAGCTATCACCTGATCGATCATTACCCATGCCGGTTCTCTGTGCTTTTTAGCCCTTGTAAATTATTTTCTGACTTCTCGTCTGATGGAGACTTAGAAACTGGGGCACACGTGTGGGTGTAAGAATGTAAGTGTAGGGGTAGGAAAGTACATTTTGTGGCATAATTCTAATTAGAGTTGCACCAATTAGAAGTTTTAAAGGGTTTGTAGCTGATTCCAGCGGTCTTAGTTAATTCCACTAACATTATACTCTTGTTTGCAATTATTCTGAATGTTAATTTCCAATTACATATAAAAGGGCCTTTATATACCACAATTGGAATACATAATTGAAAAGTGGTTGGTTAACTGTGGGTCCGTGTACAGCACTCTCACGTGTATTGCAGGTTTTAAAATGTCATTGAGTTATGTAAATAAAGTGGATTTTACATTGTCAGTAATGCATATCAATTATAAAATAATTCAAAATAGCAACATAAAACACCTTTCTGTTGTCCGCAATGACTGAATGTGTCCACGAAGTAGGCAATGAGAGGTGGTGATTCCACTAACCTGGGGGTGCTGTAGAGTGCACTCGCGGGTCTGTCTCAACGTCTGCAGTGTAACAGGATGGGTCAACAAGTGGACATTCTCTGTGAACCTGCGGAGTGAGGGTGGGAGACAGGGCATTCGCAAAGGTAAATGAAACAGGGTCGGAGACAGGGCATTCGCAAAGGTAAATGAAACAGGGTGGGAGACAGGGCATTCGCAAAGGTAAATGAAACAGATTGCTTCTCTTCATTTCCGAACATCCAATCGTGTTATTTTGACACTGTATAATGTAAATTTTTATTTATAAACCCTTTCCTATACTTTGCACTCCTATAATGTTCTAGTATTGTTTGTTGTTCTAACGTTCTGACCCGCCCCAAAAAAGAGCTTTATGACTCATCGGATTCCTCCAGTCTAAATATTCTAATTCTGATTCAATATAATCCATTATATTTTTTTCATGGGCAGGGAATATTTGCATACATTTGGTTTCATGTTACTTCATGTACTTTTTATTTATGCCAATGCGGACTTCATGCTCATACATGCAAAAAAGAACAAAACATTTCCTACACTTGGCTAGGAGATGCAAAAGATGGCTACTAGACACAATGCTATGATACAATGCAGAACATTTTGCCACTGCACATGTGTAGGGGAGTAGTGGGTGACGTCACGTCACGCTCGCCCTCAGAGAGAGTGGCGTCACAGAACGTGACGTCAGGCGGACCCTGGGGGGGGACGGTGACGTCATGCCCCAGGGGGGGTATTTAAAGGGGGACCCGGGATGTAACGGGGGGGGTAGGAGTGGGGACTCAGGGGAGCTGATCCTCACCCGAGGCTAGGGGAGGCCACTCCGCCCGACCGGCCGAGGTTGGGGTAGTCCCGGCCCGGGGCAGGGAGGAGAGCCGAGTTAGCCGGGGTTGTAGGGATCCTGGTACCCCTGTCCCCTGGGGAGTTATCGGCTAGGGGGGTGGGTTGGTTGGCTTAAGCCCCTAAGACACTTTGGCGTAAGCCCTTAATAAACGTGGCGTGAGCGCCTAACCGCAACCTGCTTGGGAGTCGTGGATTGCGCCGCAACACATGTATGCACACATGATTCTGTACCTGGACATTTCCATTAGATTTTTCCTGCCATGGTAGAACATATGAAACCACGTTCTCCTCAAATTATATATCAAATTATCTCGCAGTGGCGAGATGTTAACTACCTTGCCAGGTATACAGGAGGTAATCGGTTCGATCCCGACCCTGACGCCCGCTGTATATTTGGATGTGCATGTTGTCTCTCCCTGTGCTCGCGTGCATTTTTCTCCAGGTCCTCCAGTTTTTCCCTCTACATTTAGAAATATGCTTTTAGAGTATTTGATTGCTATACATTTCCACATGATAAGCCACTTCATCGAAACAGGTTACTCCTGAAAAAATAACTATATAAGCTCAGTGGGCCTTACCTGGTAAGATTAAAAAAAGTTTAGTTTAGAATTGAGATTGGCAGTCATGCACAAGGAGTAATGTAAAACTTATTTCACACCGTATGTAGCCAACCGTGCTAATTGCATTTAAGGTATATGACGTCACACCTCAGCCCTCCAACCCACCCTCCAGCCCGATGCACTTTTAAATCTAGATTGAAAACTAATTTCTTTAGAACTGCTTTTTGTGTTTAGTTTGTTGTCCTTCCACCGCACCTCCAATTCACACGGTTGGCTGCTTACGGTGCGAAAGAAGTTCAACATAATACTAAAACATAGGCACCATAGCTCAAGCTATACCCAACTTCATTACAGTATATTACATCTGCTGTAGGCATGTAATGATTCATCTAATAAAATTGATAATAGAGATCACGACATATGCATCGCATTCTGAATGCAACAAGTGATGATTACCTATATATATGCAAATGCTATGCAAATGCTACTGTCCATAAAATGTCATCAATGAGACACTATAACCAAGCCAGAACAAAGAAGACAGACAACACAAATAAGGCAGACAATACAAATGAGACAAAAAATGTCTTCTTCAATCAAATCGTGACCCTCAATGGTGACAAATGTATTACTTGTGGGTGGAGGGAGAATGTGGGAATTGTTACATATACAGGCAGTCCCCGGGTTACGGAAGGGTTAGGTTCTCGAGAACGATCCGTAACCAGAATTTTCCGTACGTCGGAAACTGAACAATTTTCCCCCCACATCAACGATAAAATCCCCATAGCCGGAAAGTTGTGCCTCCCCTTCCGTTTAATCTCAGGACAGTATCACGCTGTCGTACGATTTATATCGTTACCTGTATCGTATCGCTGTACATACGCTCTGCACTGCCTATGAGTCTTTCATTTCGAGTATCGCCCCTAACACTACCCATTATTAAACTAATAGAGCATATACTAATATCAAATTGTTTCTGAATCCCACATAACATTGTAATATTAATTGTTAACAGAAATCCATCACTTCCTAATGTTCGTTTACCGTGCATTAAGCTAGACCTTGACTTCACACACACACATACACGCACACAGAGACAAAGGTAGAGTAGGCTCGTCTTGATAGAATATAGGTGGTAAATCGAAAGATGGTAGGCACCACATATTTGCGGAATACAGTAGTACTTTGGAATGGCATCACATGAAAACGATATTATTTTTAAGATAAATTGTAGTTTTTTACTACTTATGGAAATCGCGCTGACGTCACGCCCCCCCCGCCCCTCCCCCCCGTTGCAAATGCGAAGGCAATACAAATTCTGTATTCTATTAAAAACTTAATTCGAATGCCAAATGTAATTTCCGTAGATCCTTATAACACCAATTAAACAGCAAAATTTAAAATATATATAAATATAAGCTAATATAACTTTGTATCAAACGATTTATATAAAACCTTCATGTACTAATATTTTACAAATCCACCTGAGTAATTACGCCTTCAAAGGCAATATCTAATTTGTATGCAGCAGGTACAAGAATGCATACATGTACCAATTAATACAAATTATTTAGACTAATGATATATGCAGCATATCTTATTTTTGTCACTTTTTTATGCATGCAATTTATACGCACAGGATTTGTTCATGTTACATTTGGGCTACAAAAGTGTACAAATATAACAAAAAAGAATGGATTCCCGAATCAAATGATGGTCCTACATCGTGACAATTCATCGAAACACCTCAATATGCAGAACATTTGTGTAAAATAGGATGTATCATATCCAACATTGTTTTACTTATTTACCCATTAAAGCCATACCGCGTCCAAACACTCTTTCAGGAGAGTCCTGCATCGTTTTTTTTATTTACATATTAGATGTTTTCAGTCAATTGTTGACTGTTTACATATATGGGAGGAAACCAGAACACCTGGAGAAAATCTTCGTGACTTCTGGAATCCATACTCTTACTCTTTGGTTCTATTCGGTAAAGTCACGTAGGTAAAACAAAATAAAACAACAAAAAGTCACGACGTTTCGGCCACTTGTGTTGTCTCTCTCGCGTTTCGGCCACTCGCGTTGCGGCCGAAACGTCGAGATTTTTGCTGTCTTGTTTTTCTACCTTACGTGACTTTGCCGAAAGAAAACCCAAACGTGCGAAGGGACAACACTCTATCCCGTAGAGACGGGACAGGAGGATGAATCGACACTTGATGCGCCAGAACTCTCCCCCAGGAAGCCACCGCGTCGGCACCTTCAATTCCCACGGGGAAGTTTTGTTTTTTGCAATATTTGTGAGATTCACTCACGCTTGCCTCCCACAGGGCTGGATCACAAGCGCATGCCAACAAAGACGTGAATGGCCATGATTTTTTTTTGCTGTGATTATTAAATTATCAAACATTGTTGCGTGCAATGTAATCCCAAGTAAGTGTTAATTTCACCAACACCTTAACGACTAATGTAATTTGTTTGTTCCGCTCTAAGAGACTTCCTGGTATCAAAAAAAATAAATTAATAAGTAACTGCGCACAATTACTTTTTAACTTGTCGGCTTCACAGACTACATTCATTTTCTCTCTCGCGGTAAATCACATGTGCAAAACAATAGCCACCATTTATCACTGACTGTCTGCAAGAGTGGAAAAACGGAAATCTACTTTGTGATTGACTTAGATGGCTACATTTTCATCGTACTATAACTGGCAAAACACTCAATGATAATATTCCCCTCTATAATTGACATTCTGTGCTTAATATTTAAATATTCTTACAAATTATTATCATTTGCCTCTTTGCCAGTATTTGGTATTATGAAAACTTCAACTGGCACTTTCACGTATTTGCACTATACTGTAACCATCTCTGGCACTTACGGAGCAAATGACCAGTGTTGACCTCCGTACTAGGCATGCTTATATAAGATGATGACTTTTCCACCACTTCTATGTGACTCATTATCCATGGGAAAATGTAAATAGAAAGAATGAATCCACAGACAATATGACTGTATACGGCTCAACCCTGGACACACGATAAATTCGTAGTGGATTTTGGGGCCTCATAAGAATGTCACTTTATATAACGCTATGATTACAAAAAAGAGTTTGGCTGGCTTGTGCGCGCTGGTGACTTCACCAAGCGCATCTGCGTGATAACCCTCATATGCATCCCACAGCGTTAAGCCAGGTTCGTGCATCGTGCTAACGTCACGAACGCCTTCCTGCCGGTAGAGTGAGCGTCTAGAGTCAGCGAAAATTATCGAGAAGGGGGACGTTGGCCTCGGTTGATATAAAAGGGAGATGCGTGGGAGACTCGGGGGGCTGTTGCAGTGAGATCTCCACCTGATGTCGAGTGAAGGTGTCTTCAATAAAGTGCCATCTCAAGAGAAGTGTGTCAAGTCGTCATTACATATTTATCCAATTCTATTGGTAGAGTTTCACCTTTAAGACCATCTGACATGTGTTTTTTTTTTAAACATTCAACAATTTTCAGATTGCGCATGTTTATTTTAATGCTAAATCCTGGGTTACATTGTATACGTACTGCAGAGTATTATTGACTTTGACATTTTACATATTTACACTGCTAAAAAAAATACAGAGGTGGATTAAATACTGTACACAGTATACGGTATTGTCCACCTGAACAAAGGTTCATGCACATGACACCATAGTCAAGTACAGTAGAGCACTGCAACAGCTACAATTCATTAACAAATAGTTGTGGAGGTGACATGGCCCAGTGACAGCCAATTCACTGCTTGTAAAGTTTCACAGTTTCAAATACAATGGCCGCCATGCTTGTTACTGCCGGTGTATTGTTATTACGGTGGATGTTAAAGATTCGGTGACTTTATTTGCAAGAGTAGGGAACTGTGTGTGACATTAGCATGGTCCAAATTTGAAAAATTACCGATAAATGACTCAATTGGAATTATAGCAATCATTGGCCCGACTGTGAAAACTTGACAGGACCCTCCTGAATAAGTGGCATGGAACTCAGTGATGTTTGCTGAGTAAACAAGTGTAAATGTCGAACACATCAGCCACAGTAACTCGGCCCCAAGTACAGACGCACCATAGTAACTGATCAACAAAAACAACTAGACTTTATATATATAAAAAGACCTACTGTCAATGTTAATTAATTACTCATGTCTCACCAGCAGGGTTGGGCCATTTTCAAAATCTTATTGTAACCACATTCCAATGTATTCACTTGCGTATGTGCAATACTTTTTTTTATCGTGGTCATCAATACAGTGTTACTGGGTAAGTATTTTTTTAATTAATATTTGGCCAAATAAAGCAATTGTGATCATTCATGTGTTTTTGGGGAATTCTAGTGTGATATCCAGAAATGTAAACATATCCGCTGAGTAATGTACTGCAACGCAAATTGCGGAATTCAACAATATAATATTCAGTATTGTAGTGACAAACAAAGTGAACGATGTCATGAAATCACAAAAAGATCAACTCCCAGTAACACAAGTTCAACTCCTGGCCACGCACATTGGTAACAATTGATATACGACACAGATCTGTGTTAAACCTTACATTAAATTAGCTTGAACCTGGCACAACAACCGCTAATGCACCATGCCATTCCAAATAGGTGGTGACAAACAGTCGTCGCCCCAACGGTTTGTCCAGGCCTAAAAGTAATATCCAGCAGCATAACCAGAGTAAGATTAAACGAAGCACCAACATTCAGAAAAGTGAAACGCTTTCGACAAGTTATTCAGTGACGTTAAAAGATATTTTCCAAAAAATATTTTCAAGACAAAAAAGGCAAAAATATGCATGGAGAAAACATGAACACATCCGATTTGCTGCTAAAATGGTAATTATAATGTAAAATTGTAATGAACCACAGGAAATGTAAGAAGAATAAAGGTAAAAAAGTTGGGCTCGGGATAAATGAGCAAAACAAAGGTCATGCACAAAAATACTAAACAATTGTAAATATCTGTCAGACAGACAGACCTGTAAATTTCAATTTGTGTGCATGAAACAGCTGTTGAAGGGAGACCAACATCGAAATGATGCCATAGAGAGGTGGATGGGAACAGGCTGGAGTGCTTTTGAAAAGCTGTGAAAATTAACATAGCATTTTCTAAATAAGTGTTTAACCAGCGTATACTACCTGCCATGACATATTGTTCAGAAACATGGCGGTAATTAAAAGTATAGAAAGTATGAAAATGGCAAAAGCATGGAGAGATGCAATTATGGAATTACATTGACAGGTGGATATAGGAAAACGTGGATTGGAGAACATAAGCAGCTTAATGACAATTTAAACTGTCAGTAAAAGAAAGTGGGCTTGGACAGGACATGTGTCACTGGAAGGAATGATGGGCGATGGTCAAGATGAATAACAGTGAAAGCCAAGAAATGGAATTTGTCTGACAGTACATTCACCCATGACAAGGAGCGATGAAATCAGCTAATGTGAAGGTCCCAGGTGGATTATAACATAGCAGAATCAAGAGGTAAAGCGGCAGCCTGGGGAAGCTTTCATCCACCAATGTATTGACCATGGCTGATGATGACGATTGCTATAACAAAAAAAATGTCCAGTCTCTCACAATAGTAAAGGCTATTATGATAATGTATGTGTGTCCTAACAGCAACAGTGCGGTCTCTAATTAATAAAAGCTGCGATAAAAATATATAAAGAAAATTGTAGTTTTGTAGTTTGATATGATTATCTGGTCTCTGTCAGACCCTCTAACTCCTAAAAGGGAAGTTGTCATACAAGTTACACACATTTTAATTTGTAGGTGAGTGACTGTGGAGTTGTAATATCTTCATTACAAACATGTAGAGTAACATCTTATCCATGGCACATCTACATTTCCTGCAATCCTCCATTATCCTAAAAATGGCAGCATATCCATTCCGTTATCCGCATTTAGCCATATTAGTGCTGAAAGAAGTCCATTTTGTGAAAGAATATAAAAAATAGGATTCACCAATAAATAGGGCCTCCACATCACCCAGGCTAAGTGGAAATGCATTGCATTCTTAGTTGAATTTTAAACTGGTCGAGTGGCCACATTTCTGATCATTGCAATACCCAAGATATACTAAGAGTGAAAAACCCCGCAAGAATCCGATTCAATTCATGTTCAAACATGAACTGTAAGCGCGCACCAAAGCCTGCACATTCAAGTGTGAACATGCTGACAGGACCACCGATTGATGAGTGGTGAACAGGACAGGTGTCGGTGCTTCCTGGGGTCCGTGTCCCTGCCACAGCTCACCTTGACCAGCACCACGCCGCTTGGAGACCGTTCTGAAGCAGACCTCCCCAGCATGTACTGCCTCCGGCGCCGTTTATCTTGCCACAGCATAGCTTTGGCCATGCTCACAGAGCCAAATCAAGGCACAAAAAGTCTGTACACTCTCCACTAAATCGACCCAACAACTGCCATGCCCCGAAGAGGAATTAAAGAATGAAATGAAAGTTTTTCCACCCCCCCCCCCCCCAAGTTTCGTTGCCACAAAAAGTTTTTTTTGGGGTTTTTAGCCAAAAACATTCGAATTATTTTCAGATACTAAGTATTGTTTGGTAAACTATAATTGTCAAGTTCCAAAACATGAAACGGTCTTCGCTTTTTTTCGATGTATTTTTATAACACAATCACATCCCTGAACTGCAGGTCTATGCTGTTAACATCTGTTGCTTATCTGAAGGAGAATGTTTTACTTTTCCGAGATAACAGACATGCTTCCATCGGACGCACAGCAATATCTCACTGTGCTTCTCTCCGGGCAGACCGGCGTGTTTGTAAAGATATCCATAGCGACAAGGTCGACTCCGATGACGTTGCCTTTGCTGTGCTATCAGCTCTCCGAATGAATAACCACGAGATCAAATAAAAAAAACCCTCAGGTCAGCAAACGTTCCCAACATCTACAGAAATCACCGTGCGAACTGAGCCCAAGAACTGTTGAAGATGTCACCCTTGGCAAGCACGCGGCTGGCCACGTTGTCAAAGTGGACTGAGAGAAGGATGTGTGATACGCGCAGAGGTACAGTAATAGCCTGTCACGTAGAAAGCCTGCGTGTACACACAAGTATAGTCCGGTGGAGCCTCGCGTCCGCTAAGCCGTAAGTCCTGTTACTGTTTACGTGGAGGAAGGCTGCACATCGTGCAAAGGGAGGGTGAGAGGGTGACGTGTGGCGGTGGGAGGAGGAGGAGGAGGGCTTGCTAATGCAAACTTCCCGAGTCTTGATCCCTGCATGATTTGCCAGTGAGGCTCTCACTCTTCTCGAGAACTTCAGTGCCGCCAGCTGCTTTGTTTGCGAGTAAAAGCCAAGCAACGAGCATTGAGCGTTGTGCACTCGTGAGACGAATGCTTCCGAGGACACGGTGCCAGTGAGATTCTAAAATAAAAATGCCCAAGACTTAAATAGCAGCCCTTTTTTTTAAAAAAAAAAAGGAAACAAAATTATTTTACAAAAAAATTTACAAAGTGTAATGTGTATCTTAACAGATGCACCAAACTAATTGAAAAATGGGAGTGATCCAAACACATTTGTTTAACCGGCTTTAAACATAGACAACCCAGAGCAGAGCCCTGTGGTGTGTGCACATAGATGTTTAGCGAGAAAACGCAATACTGTGGCTTTAGCAGACAGGCACTTTAGTAGTAGCACTGTCTTTAAAAAAAAAAGTTATGCTATGGAACTGACATTTTTATATCCAGTTGAACAAATATTTTATAAGCAAAAAGGACAGAGCTTCAAACTCAATAAATATAAATTTTGATTTAAAGCTTTCGTGACTGCAGTGATTCACATTCTTGGTTCATTCGGTAAAGTCACGTTGAAGGGAAACAAAAAAATAATAACATACATATAAAACAATAAAATTCTCACGACGTTTCGACTGCAACACAAGCAGTCATCATCAGGTGTGAAAACCAACGGCAAGAACATTTGAAATTTTCACACCTGATGATGACTGCTTGTGTTGCAGTCGAAACGTCGTGAGAATTTTATTTTTTTATATATATTTTATTATTTTATTGTTTCCCTTCAACGTGACTTTACCGAAAGAACCAAGAATATCAATAAATATATACAAGTACGTGTAGTGATAACACCATCAAGTAAAAGCAATGATAAAGAACAATGAAAACATGACCTATGTATACCCAACTGCGTACTATAAAAGTATGCGCATTCAAGCTTACTAATCCCCATAAAAAAAGTGTGCCTTCACAAACATTCAACCAAACAAACAGCTCGTGGTGAACGAAGTACTTGTAGACATTAACAATTCACCGTCACCTAAACACGATGGAAACCAACATTCACAGAAAGACCTGAAGATGTACAGACACTTTTAAGAAGAACACCAATGCTTGTGAATCCACATTTCACAATGACGAGTGCGTCGAATAACAACACGAAACGCTTGTGTCCGCGTGACGTTCAGTGCTATGTTTATTGTGACGTTTATTGTGACGTTTATTGTGATGTTTATTGCGATGTTTATTGTGATGTTTATTAGACTGTTGTCACGGGAGGGGGGGGGGTAGACAGCGCAAGAGTGACACCAGTAGTAACAATTTTCAGTAATTTAGACATAGCAAGCGAGTGACATGGGTCGAGGCGTTTTTGTTTATGAGCATAAGCACCTGAACTTTAGGGGACTTGTGCCATATTATTGCCACCTCTTCCGCAAATTACACAACCCTTAAGTTTGCGAATATGAAATGTGTATCATCTTTGGAACTGCGAAGAGTTAATGGTTAACCCTCCAGCTCAGCTGATGAGAATGTAAAGTTGATCAATAATGAGCCGTTCTGTCACGCGGGGAAAAGGGTCAATCTTACTGTGAACCTATGGTGGTGTAATTTATTGGCATGTCAAAATTGTAAGTATTTTTTTTTACATGGAGACATATGAAGGAAACATTGTATGCATATCTATTGGCTATTTATATTCTCCACAAATATACTAATTGTAAAACATATTACAGGTACATTTATTGATAGACAATGCAGTGAGGATAATCAGAGTGTGATATGTAGTTTATCATAGTGGAATGGTATAAAGCAGTGAGTTTGTGTTGTTTTTTTTTGCAATTCCCAGGAGAAAACTTTAAGTGTGGTACCATTGAACATTATGACACAATAGAGGCTGTCACGTGATTCCCAGGTTCGATGAAAATTGCCACTAACCAAAGAAAAGTAGAAACAAATATCGGCAATCAAAATTGTTCAGACAGTCTCTATTCAATAAAAGTGACTTACTTTTATCTTACAAGAGCCACACAATGTTCCGTAGATCAGAACAGAAATGAAAAAAAGGCTTTGTGTAAGACTGCTCATAACACAGAATGTTCAATGGTAAGTTTAGCTCGGGAGTGGTGACTATGCACGTGGCACTGTGGAAGCGAGGTTTGTCGGATCATACAAATGTTGTGAAACTCCCTTCCCACGCGCATCAAGGTGGCATACCCTGGCTCACCAGAAGAAGAAGAAGATGGTATAGCAAATGTGGACCCCACCTGTTCTATCTGCATGGGATAAAGTCTTGCCACCTCACACGTATGAGTTTTCCCCAGGTGCTCCGATTTCCTCCCACATGTAAACAATCATTTAATTGGCCAATAACACCTTAATATATAGAAGATTGCAGAGCTTGGGGGGAGGGGGAATTTAGTTCACTACGTAGCTTCTTTCACCACTCGTCTGTGGTTCCGCACTCCTCTGAATCACTCTTCTTGAGAGTGAGTGAAGACTGTGCACGTTACAAATGGAAATTATTTTAAAAATTTGAATGGCAACATATCACAAACCACAAAATGCAGCTTGTCATCTGGATACAGTATTCAGATTCATTATTTTCTTTACACGCATTTACAGTGGAGATACCGAATTATACATTTTTTCCTTTCTCCAGCAATAGAATAATGTGTGTGCTTGCTTACAATGTTTGGTGATGATACACTGCTCTGCATCCAGAATAACCTAGCTTAGTCGTTTTGTTCAAATTACAGTACAGTATGAAACCTCATTACCATGACGATGTGGGCTGTTCCAAAAAAGAAAGTTTGCTGATAAAAAAAGGTTCCACTCAGATAGCAGACTGCTACAATATTCTGCACAACACCTCTTTAACTTGCGGACGGTGGCACTGCTGCCACGTCACACACGTGACAAGGCACAGGGGGCATCCACCAAGAAACAACAATAAACAGGGGCAACAATCAGCTAAACTAATAAAATCTCATCAGAGGTCAAGCACTTACTTGCCATTTTTATCTGCAATAACTCGATGGGAACTTAAAATATAAGCAATGAAACTCCCTTTGTCCTGTAACGTCCACATCACAGAGTGACTCCACACCAGGAATTGCGGATCAAAGCTCCTCTGAGTAGAGCCATAACTGCTCTACACTATTTGTCTTGTTGGAGACCAAAAAGAGCTGTGATGTAACCCAATATCAATGTTAACGTTTTTTAACTTCAAGGGTATTTGTTTTTGTTTGGGTCCATGGCAAAGGACAATTCACAACAAACTCTATAGTATTCACAATATAGAGCTGATATGGCACAATGGACTGTTAGAAGTAGCTTGATTCACCGAAATTACCTTTTCTTTTCATTACGCGCTTTTATTTAACTCACTCTGTTGTTGTTGTCGTGGTTGTATCCTCAAATCTTGTAACTCAATTTTAACCCACTTCCAAATGTGGTATCGACTGCAAACTTGGTATACTTATGTCATACTGATGACAATACTATATTCTATCATAAAAAATAAAATAAAAATATGTTATGTTTCGGCTTGGGTCTAATTGTCCACGCTCAACTCACGTTGGCTGTAATTGGCAAGCTTCGGGGCCACTTTCTGGAGTCGTGGAGTTCTTCCATTATTACAGTACATTCATGTTTACGATGTGACGATCGATCTGCGAGCCATACTACGCCAAGAAACAAGATGGCATTTCATAAAAGTGTCTTTTTTTAAGTTAAAAAAATATATTTATTATGTGTCAATTTCTCAGAAATGTATGGACACAAAGAATAACAGGAGAGTATTTGGTCTCCATAATAAAATTCACAGATGAGAAAGAAGAGTGTTACTGTACTTGTTATATACAGTGAGGGAAAAAAGTATTTGATCCCCTGCTGATTTTGTACGTTTGTCCACTGACAAAGAAATGATCAGTCTATAATTTTAATGGTAGGTTTATTTGAACATTGAGAGACAGAATAACAACAAAAAATCCAGGAAAACGCATGTCAAAAATGTTATAAATTGATTAGCATTTTAATGAGGGAAATAAGTATTTGACCCCTCTACAAAACATGACGTAGTACTTGGTGGCAAAACCCTTGTTGGCAATCACAGAGGTCAGACGTTTCTTGTAGTTGGCCACCAGGTTTGCACACATCTCAGGAGGGATTTTGTCCCACTCCTCTTTGCAGATCTTCTCCAAGTCATTAAGGTTTCGAGGCTGACGTTTGGCAACTCGAACCTTCAGCTCCCTCCACAGATTTTCTATGGGATTAAGGTCTGGAGACTGGCTAGGCCACTCCAGGACCTTAATGTGCTTCTTCTTGAGCCACTCCTTTGTTGCCTTGGCCGTGTGTTTTGGGTCATTGTCATGCTGGAATACCCATCCACGACCCATTTTCAATGCCCTGGCTGAGGAAAGGAGGTTCTCACCCAAGATTTGACGGTACATGGCCTCGTCCATCGTTCCTTTGATGTGAAGTTGTCTTGTCCCCTTAGCAGAAAAACACCCCCAAAGCATGTTTCCACCTCCATGTTTGACGGTGGGGATGGTGTTCTTGGGATCATAGGCAGCATTCCTCCTCCTCCAAACACGGCAAGTTGAGTTGATGCCAAAGAGCTCCATTTTGGTCTCATCTGACCACAACACTTTCACCCAGTTGTCCTCTGAATCATTCAGATGTTTATTGGCAAACTTCAGACGGGCATGTATATGCGCTTTCTTGAGCAGGGGGACCTTGTGGGCGCTGCAGGATTTCAGTCTTTCACGGCATAGTGTGTTACCAATTGTTTTCTTGGTGACTATGGTCCCAGCTGCCTTGAGATCATTGTCAAGATCCTCCCGTGTAGTTCTGGGCTGATTCCTCACCGTTCTCATGATCATTGCAACTCCACGAG